AAATAGACGAGACAGGGACTGGTACAAAGTTAATGAGTGCAACTAAGTTCAAATCTCGACTGACCGATGAGTTCAAGATCTTATTCACTCTCGGGAAAAGAGTTACTTGGCTCCACTACATGTCAGTTCAAGTCTTATACACTGATATGGAAATTAACTCGGATGTACACTCAGGTTGGTACGGTGTTGAATTACCACTTTAAATGTGTGGGGGATTGTTGGGGACATTTAAAGAGTAGGTTTTGTCCCACATTGCTTATCTACCTTTCTATCTCCCACTATTTAAATTACCACTTATTTTAAAAAGCTTGAAGTATTATGAAGAGGGAACAAGGGGAGATCCCGCGCTGCCCGCACGGTGTGGTGGGGTCAAATTTTGGTCCGCACTTTTATTTTAACTCCTAATTTTAAGGAATTTTGACCACCTTGTCCGCACACCATGCACTGAGAAGTGAACATGTGATAGACAATGTGTGGAGTTCCTTCCCTTGCTCTCCCTCTTTGTAGGAAGTTTTTGGCTTGTAATGGAGGAGTGGTTTCATACAACTAGTATATAAACCCACTGTTTCATTACATCAAAGATGAACTGAACCTTCATGTTACCTGAGATATTTCGGAACCACATGTTCCAAGCGATTCTGTGTTTCCTGTCGAAAGCAGCGATATCCTGGTCGCAAATGCTTTTAAGGAAGTGTATAACATACACGACACAGATATAATCCAAATAATACACACTACATCCATCAGTGTTCGAAATTAACTTGTTCAAAGCAGAAGCAGTTTTGTTCGAATTAGTAGCAGAGCTTGCGTCATCCACCATCAATTGAGTCCAGTAGCTTTTGGTTGGCTTTCCCACGTCACAAACAAAGCATCATTGCATCATCATTGCATCATCATTTGTGTCCAGTGACTTTGATTGCTTTTCGCACATCACAAGCGAATCAAGAAGTGCAGCAACGTTTCAGTCCACTGGTTTGGCTGGCAATCGCACATCACTAACGACACAACAGTTAGGTTGAGAAAGTATATGAACAGATACTACAATGTAATAGAGCTAGTAGCATTCAAAAAAAAAATTAGATTACAATCTATTGTGAATTACATTAAGTAGATTTCACGTCGCTAACGTACTATTAACTAATTTCTATCCATTTTAACAACGAATTGTGTCAGTGTGATATGACCATTACAATCTATAGTATAATACTATTCGTGTTTTTATCATTATTAAAAAAAAAAAAAAAAAAAAAAAAAAAGTTAAACAATGTGTACGTATATATGTAAGTATTACATTTAGAAATATCGTGCAAAAGAAGGGCAAGGCTTAGTATTTATCAAATGATTACATTTCTTACCTTAGTGGAGGACAAAATCATTAAGCTTTGGAGGTGAGTATAAGTGGCATGTGATAGACCCAATTTTGGTCAAAAAAAACATATCCAAGACCTTATCTTAGCAAAAACATTTATATTTTCCAATTAAACTCCATTAGGGGCGAACCAAACACGGCCCAATTGCACATTGTCAATTTTTACCCTGCCATTACCTCCATAGTATCCATGCTATACAAGTGACCCTAAATAAAATTTATCGAGATTCGATTAGATTAGTCCCCATTCTTATTCTAGAGTTTTGAATTCTTTGTGTAATAATGGTTAACTCAAAAACGAGTTGAGCTTTTGGTGATTAGATAGGCGAACAAACAAATAAGAGATCCATGCATGTGATCAAACTGTATACATAATCACCCATTTGAAACCTTTTTTTTTTTTTTATCTTAAAACTAAATTAAAGTGAAAATTTGAGGGTATAGATGAAAGGGATTTCACATGAATATTGAGGTCCCATATATATAATATATGATTACATATCATTCATGCATGTTAAATCAAAAAATAAAGTTGCTTTAAAGTGAAGTGTGTGTGTATATATATATATATATATATATATATATATATATATATATATATATATATATATAGAGAGAGAGAGAGGAAGGTTCAAGTGCGGCAGTGCGCTTAGGTGCGGCGGTGCGGTTAAATGTAGGCCATTAGATTAGATAAATTCAACGAATCACATTCATCCAGGCTTTTCCGATATTTTCGCACACGTTCTCACACTACGCGAACTGCAAGGTTAAAGTCGTCATTGGGCACCTGAATAGATCAAATCATAGTGTTGTGTGTTTTATGTTCGTTATTGGTGCATTATTAACCTTACTGTGGTATATTTGATGATTCGTGTTGGTGCCAAGTTTAGGTGCGCTCGTGCCTTCCCATGCGGTCAGTGCGGGTGCACTAATAGTTATACAAATATACACCATCCATGTTAGAAAATGTACACCAAAAAAACATGTCACAAATTAGATTTGCATCACCAGAACGCACCATTAGGTATGAATAAAAGCACCACACAGTGTTCAGAAATACACCATTGGGGTGGTGAGTTATATGGTGTATTTTTTGAGTGTGTTGTGTGTTTTTTGGTGTATTTGTGCATTTCATTGTGGTGCTTTTTCCTAACACTATTGGTGTCTTTTGTTAACACTGTTGGTGTATTCTGACAAGCGACTGATATAAATGACCACTACAATTACCATAACACCCCCCACTTATCAGGACGCGCTTAAATCTTTAAATCTTCAGAAATTAGCCGCTGCCGTTAGATTAAGAAAAATGGACGATGCTGATATAGCCGCACCACCGCACCTAAAGCCACTGCCGCATTTGAGCGCTAATATATATATATATATATATATATATATATATATATATATATATATGCTCAAATGCGGTTGGTTCGTCCATGTGCGGTTAAATATGAGCCATTAATCGTGCTTAAATCAACATTCAGGATTAACAAAATTAAAAAATATATATATGGTGGCAATTTAGTAATTTTACATCTACGTCAAATTTAAGGTGCGTGGTTTTCCTTCTTAATGTGCGTCGTTTTTGTGCTTAAGGTGCGTGGTTTGTGTGCTTAAGGTGAGTAGTTGTTGAAATTTAAGGTGCGTCAACCTGAAGCTTAAGATGCGTGAGTTGTTGAAACTTAATTAAGGTGCGTCATTTTAAAACCTTAGGTGCGTGGTTTGTGTACTTAAGGTGCGTCGGGTTAAAGCTTTAGATGTGCGTCGTTTGTGCTCTTAAGGTGCTTTGTTTGCGTGCTTAAGTGTGTGTGATTTGTGTACTTAAAGTGCGTCAACCGCACGAAAAATTATACCCGCACCTGAACCCTTCCCTCTATATATATGTTACAAGCATTTGTCTTCATTTGTGTGCTTGAATTTGGGCAATTCCTTGTGTCATCTCCTAGCAAAGTATGGAGTGAAGGAATATAGTGCAACCTTTTAAAGAAAAACTCAAACTAGGTAATCATGGTGTTTTAGAAGATTGAGGTTGTGGGTACGGTGGTGGTTTCTGTAGATTGTTTACTTTTCCACTACTTGGATATACTTTAATTTGTGCAAGCAAGCTGCTACCCTCCATCCATTCTGCACTCTATTCTACTCCTAAATCATCATAAGTTTCATATATTTCTTTACTTTTTCCAACTTTTCTTGCCCAAGTTTTCAATGCTTATAATTACCTAGTCACTGTAAATGTGATGTTGTTGCACATTTCTATGGGTGTTAGTTGGAAGACAACCCATGGCACTCCTACAAATCATCACCTATTTCCATGGCCCCATCATCCACTCTCCATTCTTTTTCAATTGAATTAGGGTTCGCACACTATAGGTAATTAGAGAATTAGTTTTAAGAGTGTTGACGGGATGATATCTAGAATTTGATCGTTTTCTTGATGGGTATCTTAAAAAAACAAAATTAGTTTTAATTTGAGATTAAAAATCAGTAAGCCAGAATACACATTACTCTACACTGGCTAACAGGTTAAGTCAAGTAATCCAAGATACCACGTCCCAACAATACCTTTCACATTCATACTAGCTAAATGGAGATGGGGAAAGGATATTAAGGCAAAATACACACAAGATGTCAAGAAAACCTACAAATTGGAGTAAAAAAGTAAGAAGAATAAATAAGAGGTTATGAATAAGCTGTAGTTTTGCAGGAGAGATGAAAACAGCTGTGCAGCCATATTCATCGTGCATGATTCTTACTTTTGCTGGTGACAGACAGTTGTGAAACACCCTAAGATTACGTATATATGGTTGTTGTAGATATCAAATTATCAATGCCTAACCTTGGTTTTAACCATTAAAAAAAAGGGAATTGACTTGCGCAAAGGATCAGACTGCTAGCTATGCTTGAATCAGTTAAGTCTCTGACCGGACTGATTAGAGCGTAAATGATACGCAGAAGATACATAATATATTAACTATATGATATGCAGAAGATACATAATATATACTCGTAATATATTAACTATATGATATGTAGAAGATACATAATATATTAACTATTGCGCCTCCACTGAAGTTTGATCTCATGACCTCCCACATGAAAGAGGTCACTACATCATCTGAGCACAAGGTGCTTGGCAAGTTAATATATTGAGTTATTATATTGAGTTATGAACTTGTAGTTGTATTGTGTTTATGCAACTTCTAAACTTATTCTATTGGCTTAGTTGTGTTATTCTTTATTTATTAGTACAATTATATAGTTGTATTCAATTGCATTTAAATGTAGTTTTGAATGTTTGTTTGACATGAAATCATGATCATTTTAGTATAATTTTAGATTATTAAAGAATTATTAAGATATTAATTAATTTTATAAATATGTAGTTATCAAATTATGGCAATGCAATACCAAAGTTGCAGAATAGCATAGTTTTGGACCCCCCACCGTTGTTATATTGTTTGGGCCATCCAATTTAAATAGTTCAAGATATAACACAATAGCCCTAGTATGGACACATCAAAAGTTTTACTTGAAAACTAGGTTTGAATTCTATGTAAATTCAAGCGTTATATCGGTGTTATGTAAGGTTTGTATGTAAGCGAATCTATTCGAATTTAACTAGCACAAAATCTAATGAAAACGCAACTCAATTCAAAACGCAACAACAAAAGACAAGTGATATTTTAACTTTAAACAACAATGGACTGATTTTCGGTGATGTCTTAGGTATCTAATATCTTGGGTGAAAAACAGACAAAAATATAGTCTTGAGCTCTCCAAAACAGTGAACAATTCCCATCATAGCAAAACAAGGCAAAGAAACAAAAACTCCAAAACAGTATCTAACATTAACGGTAGCGGCGGAGGGAGAGTGTCTGGTTCCTCTTCCAGGTTGCCCTTCTTGAAGGTCGGGCTTTGTGGTGCAAGTGTCCCCTTCCTCGGAGACCCCTGAACTTCTTCCCAGCCGAGGTCAGACCACGAAGCTCTCTGTGCTTGTGTACAGGGTTGCAGAGCCAGTTGATCCTAGGGTCGTTGCGGATTGCAGCGTGGGCAGGATCAACCAATATTACCTCAAAGTACTTGTAGGTGGAATCCTGGAGTCAAAAATGTCTGAATTAGTATGGCAGTTCAGGGATCACGTAGAAATAGAATGGAAAAGACTCCGAACAAACCTCGTTAATCCAGTAAGAGTTCAAAACCCTGAGGCCACCGAGTTTCCTGCCAGCACGCTCCTCAGCAACTGAGCGTTTGCTCCGCTGAAATTTCAGCTGAGTCACACCCTGGTTTGTGGGCTTGCCATAAACAATACCCTTGGGAACGGGACGCTTTCTACCCCCACGTCTCACACGAACTCTATAGATGACATATCCCTGTGAATAGAATATTATTTCTTAGCAAATGAGAGCCAAAAGAATTGCCAAGACAGAAGGCAAATATGAAAGGTGGAAATCAAGACCTACAAATAATAACACCAGAACATTTCACAATATAAACAAATCTCCACAGCATGATTTAATTCAAAGCTACTATTCATTATTGTTACAGTAATCAGACTACCGGAACAGAAACTAGGTAGCAATTTTATTTATAAAATGTCTCTAATCAATTTTGAAAAAAGGAGTACTGATTAACCGACATTATGCAATTCATTAAAATAATATTTACCACCACAAATGGGAAATAGATAGAGCAACATCCATTTTATGGAATCAATCACAATCATAAAACAGACACAAACAAGATGACAATACGTGCAACATGAACTACAAAGCATGTCATAGTCAGTGAAGTACAAAATGAAAGTTAAACACACTTGAAAACTCGGAAGTGGTCAATCACAGAAACTTAAGTCCACTCGTCTCCTTCTTGTTATACTTAAAACTCCCTAAACACCACTGGATAATGAATGCGAAATTGAAAGGGACTGTCAAAGTGTGGTGTGAACTACAAAGCAGACGTCTAGTAAACAGTCGCGGATTTCATTTAAGTTGAGAATATTCAATTATACACAGCAAGCAAAAAATGACATACTCATCCAGATTAAGCATGCAGTAAACACAAACTAAACACACAATAACAAGGTAAATATATAAACAACAATTACATTGCCACCTTTCAGATGAAACCATTCAATTATACGCAACAAGCAAGAAATGACATACACATATGGATTAAACAGCACACAAAACACAATAATAAAATTGATACATAAACAACAATTATATTGCACTCAACCTTTTAAGTTGAGGCCACCCAATTATACACAGCAAGCAATAAATAACATACACATAGATTAAGCAGGCAGTCAGTAAGCATGAATTAAACAACACACAATATCAAAATGTATACATAAGCAAGTAAGCAAAAGTTATACTACACTCTACCTTTAAGTTGAGGTCATCCAATTATACACAGCAAGCAAAAATGACATACACATAAGGATTAAGAATGAAGTAAGCAAAAATTAAACGATACACAATATCAAAACAGATATATAATCAACAATATTACATTGCACTCAACCTCACCCACTTTAGATCGCGACATACATAAACATAGAAACTCAACAAAACCGTGCATCACAAATTACATCAAAAAGCCATCACTCAAAATCAACTTCAATCAGTCTAGATATACCTGCTTAGCCTTGTAGCCAAGGCGACGAGCCTTGTCGGGACGAGTGGACCTGGTGACGCGAACTATGGAAGGAAGCTGGCGGTACTCCCAGCACCTCACCCTCAGCAAAAACCTCATCACATCCGATTGCTTCTTCCTCCATAGCTCCGATACGTATGTGTACGCACCTGAAACATTTCAATCGGAACAATACACACTAAGAATGCAGCTCTACCTCATCTCGAAACTCAAAGAACAATCGATTCACGAGCTCAACAAGAGAGAAGCAACACTTACCCATCGCAAATTGCGGAGACGATCTGCTCCCTGCTGGTATCCTCGGCTAGTCGGCTGAAGGAAAGAGCTGTGAGCGCATAAATAAGTTGAGAAGGTGCCGCTGCTAGGTTAGATCAAACAATCAGATTATGGGCTCCAAATGTTGGGCTCGTCATCTTTACGGCCCATTTTCATTTTCTGGGTACTTTAGTCCATTTACACTTCGCTAGCCCATTTATACAAATAAATTTTTATTTTTTATTCTCTCAAAAGGTTAAATCCCCAATCCCGGCCCGATAGAACATTTGAAATGATTTAAATCACGGTCACTCAATTGTTAAGCAGGTAGAGCCAAATGCTGGTGCGTACAAGGGATCTGCATAATTAGGCATAATCCCCAAATATTGTCTATTGAACCAATAAGCTAAACCGGTGCAGACAATAAATTTTTATTTGAGAAAATTTCAATTTTGGTAATATTACTATAGGGGCTTTGTTAATTTCAGCACCTAACTTTCAAAAGTGTCAATTTAGTACCTTGAGTATGTAATTTTTGTCAATTTTGGTCACTCCGGCCAAATTTGACCGAAAAATTTTAATCCAACATTTAGTCTAAAATTTTGGGGGCAAAATAGTTTTTTCTATCATTTTTCCTAATTGCCAGCTACCACAAAGATTTTAGACTAAATGTTGGATTAAATTTTTCCGGCCAAATTTGGCCGGCAATTTGGCTGGAGTGACCAAAATTGACAAAAATTACATAATCAAGGTACTAAATTGACACTTTTGAAAGTTAGGTGCTGAAATTAACAAAGCCCCTATAATCGTATGACTAAAATTAAAATTTTCTCATTTTTATTTCTAAATAGTCGCATCATTTATTTATCGGTGCCCTTACGTAACAAAAAATAACTCTCAACAACAGATATCTCGACTCTTTTACTATATAGTATATACTTTTGTGCATAAAGAATCTAACTTGCGACAACATTGAAAATTTTGTAGAGAAACTAATATTCATAATTTATGTGCATGTGATCTAACGTTTATGGAATTATTTGGAGTTGTTGAGTTAGATGATGGATGAGATTGTAAATTGTTAGGTAATTATTTTGTTACGATTAAGCTTGTGAAATTATGAGTAAATTGATTTTTCAAATAAATCGATAAATGATTTAGTGTCGGAATATTAGAATAATGAAACGTTGAAGTTTATAGCATTTGGTGTATATGTATATGCATGTACAAGTAATTAGTCCAAGTTGGACCTACTAATTGAACCAAATTTAGGACATTCGAAATTGGACAAATTATGTCTTAAACACAATAAACTCCATGCTGCACTTGTTTGAAGGATGAGATTTATGCTTTGAAGTTTGAAGTTTGATTTTTATTTTTTATTTTTAAATTCAAATGGTTGAAATTAAATTTCTTATCTAAATGAAGCTGGCAATTTAACTTCTTCAAACTATGTTAATTTGCCTATAAATAGGCATGCTTACATGCAAAGGTGGACACGACAGAAGTGAGGAAATGATTAAATGATATATTTTCCTTATTTAAGGAAGGAAATGATTAAAGAAAATTATTTTCTTAAACATAATAAACTCCTTGCTGCAATTCAAAAAACTCCCTGCTGCAATTGTTTAAAGGATGAGATTTAATCTTTGAATTAAAGTTTGAATTTGTTTTTCAAATGGTTAAAATTTCTTATCCAAATGAAGTTGGCAATTTAACTTCTTCAAATTGCCATGTTAATTTGGCTATAAATAGGCATGTTTAATGCAAAGGTGGACACGGCAGAAGTGAGGAAATGATTTTCTATTTTTTAACTTCTACCGCCAGTTTGGTTCACAGAAAATATCTATTTGAGGAATGAAATTATGAGAATATTTATTCTATTATTTTGTTAAGTTTAAAATTGTAAGAAAAAATGAATATAAGATAAATATATCCGTACACAACAACAACAATAATAATGATAATTAATAAAGTTTGGTGAAGATAAATTGTCCTACTAATTTTCTATGGAAAACAAAATATCAAGGGTGAACTAAGGAAAAAGTTATCATCATTCTTGAAGAAAATTTTTTTTGATGGAAAATATTTTCCATGAACCAAACAGGGGAAAATTCAATTTTCTTCAATTGTAAGGAAGATTTTTTTCAAAGAATTTTTTTTTTTTTCATCCAACTAAACACCCCTTATTTCATACTTTTGCCAAGCTTGTTATAATCGAAGTCTTAATACTTCTTTGTAAAACACATATTGACAAATATTTTTCTCGTATTTACTATCGTGATTGAATGTGTCAAGCAACCAAATTCAAGTGTTATACCTTCATTGTGCCCCAACAATTTTTTATACGGTTATCATGGTGATTTGGTAAATGATGATACCAAACTGATGGTTTTATTGGGATCAGGTCCACCATAAACCGAGTATAGAAATACGACGGTCCAAGTACAAAAAATAAGGCCTAGAGGGTGGACTATTGCTAACTTAGCACTAATAGGAATTGAACCCAAGTATAAGAGTTAAAAGTATGAGATCAAGACCATCGAACCATAATACTTGTCATGTTTGAGTTGCCCTGCTAAGAATCTAGGGCCCCAATTGATAGCCTGCCTCCTCCCCTCTCCTGACACCCACGTGTCCCACGTACTCAGACGCCACTCCCCGATTTATCGCACGCCAGTCCGCACGTTCACCGCGCCTCCGACACCCCCGCATTCTCTCCCGGGAACCTCACGCACCCCGGGCGGACCGCCACCCCAGTGTCGGTGACCGCACGCCGCCACGCCCAGCCGTGCATCGGGCGCACCATTGCCGGCTGGGCCCAACCGGCGACCTCCCTCGGTCGGCCGCCACCCCGTGGCCTCGCACGGGGGCACTATGTCCGCGCCCAGCGCCCCAACCAGCGATCCCCTCCGACCACCTTCGCCGACCATCCCTCCGGTCCCTCACCGTCGTACCCTCGACCATACCCCCAAGATCCGTCTGGTCGAACCACGTCAGCCCAATAAGTCCTCAGCTCATATCCAATATTCCCATCACAAACTTTTTAGAAAAATGAACCGAGTTCATTCATGGTTTAAAAGTGTTATTCGATTTTTATCATCTTAGTTCTTGTTTTTACTTTTTACCATCCAAATTAATATATCCAATGGATTAATGGTTTAGATGTTGCCTTGTACTCGTATGATTGCTCTATCTTGATTGCTGCTCTTGATGTAAATTTAATTACTCCATCAATTTTTGTATTGTGTGCTTGTTAATGCAGCAAAAAGTTGCTTGGAGAACAGCCCCTAGTGTGACGTATCATTATTTTTGTTTGCAAGGTTTTACAACTTAAACATCCATATAAAATTGTTGAACATTAACAAGCACACAATACATAAATTGATGGAGTCATTATTTTTGTTTGCAAGGTTTTACAACTTAAACATCCATATAAAATTGTTGAACATTAACAAGCACACAATACATAAATTGATGGAGCCCCTAGTGTGACGTATCATTATTGTCAATGTTCATATTCCCAATTGTTGAACTCTGTACTCACAAATCAACAAATCACTGAACTATATGTTCATAATTTGATAACTATACAGTTTAGAAATTATGAATCTATAGTTTAAAAATTATGAATCTACAATATAGAAATTATGAATTTATAGTATAAAAAGTATGAATTTATTGTATATAAGTTATGGACTTATAGTATAGAAATTATGGATGCACATCTGCTTAACGCTTCATTGCTGAATCACTCTAATTTATTTATTTATAATCCTGTTGGGCCGAGCTGCGGTCAAGAATATAAATATGACGTTTCAATCTGCGAAGAAGTTCTAAAGTCCATATTCTCTCGGGAAAACAACGAATCAAAAAATATCTGCTAAATAAATAAACACATAACATAACAGAAGCACAAAAAAGCGATAAGGAGAAGATGCGGAGGTCTCTGAGCGGTGGCAGCGGAGGAGCCGGCGGGAGCATGCTAAAGAACGTTCACAGAGCCGTCAGGGCTGGCGTTGGGAGCGGCGGCGCTGCTCAAGAGCAACCCGTCTCTCCGTTCAAAACACCGAGAAAACACACTCTGAATAATAATCTGCAGCCCCATGCTTCAAACATCTTAACGCTCTCTACCGCCGCTCCTTCATCGCCGCGTTTTCCTCCGTCCGCCGCCGGGCCTTCCCGCTCTTCGTCGCCGGCGTGCAGTGAGGAATTGGAATCTGAGTGGGAATGCTTGGACGGACGTGAAGATGATGAAGAAATGGGGAACTACTTTTACGATGAATATGTTTTTGGTGCTGTTCCTTCGTTGGACGAGGTTCACCATGCATTCTCCTCTCTTCAACAGTGAGTTCTTTCCAAAAATCTTATGATAATAATGTCTTTAGATATAGACAATTGTAGCTATAATGAAATCCTATGTAACAAATTACATATATTATGTCTATGCAATCTATGATGCACAAAAATTTCAATCATTATAAACTCTTAAAGCTAGGATGCACTATAAGAAAACAGTAAAATACTCTTGATCTTGGTGTTTCTCAATCTTACATATTGTATGTTAGATTTGTTGTTTCTCCATATTTTGGGAACATTACCAAACAGAACTTATAGTTTATTAGTAGCTTAAAACAAGCTATAAGCTCCTAAATAAGTTTTGCCAAACAGAGCCATATTGTATGTATGCAATCTATGTTACAGGAAAACTCTCACAGGAAGAGTGTTTTTGTGTTGGTTGTGGTTTTGTTAGGGTGTTTGAGCCTGCAGCCTCCTCACATTCCAGGAACAGTAATACTGCCGCCACCGGGGCACCCAAAGACACGGCGGAGGAAGTTGGTATTCAGGCTAGCTCGACGCCATCAGGGTCGTCGGATTGGATGGAACCATCTTTACATATCTGTAATTCAAGAATGGTGAGGCCTTATGTCCCAAACAGAGTATATGAAGCTTTTCATCTGATGCAGACTGAGCCTGCCATCAAGGTACCATTCAATAATGCCTAAATTTCAATTGCAATTTAAGCCAGGAAATGTTGTAAAGCTCATGTTTTAATCTCCCTTTATCTCCATAGAGAATGGTTGTTTCACTGTCATCTGATAAAGCTGTTTGGGATGCTGTTTTGAACAACGAGGCAGTGCAAGAGCTCCGAGATTCACTCAAGCAAGGTTTATATTGTTTCCAGAAATGCGGCATACATGTTTGCATACATGTTTAAACTGATAGCGAAACTGCATATTTATTATCGTTAGTTGTGTTATGGCAGTGACTGTACCTGACCGGGCTTTCCCAGGGAGCACGTACGAGGAATCTGTGGCGTCGAATGGGGAACCATTCGACATTTGGAGCTGGATTTTCAGCAATGCCAAGGCAAAAATGATGGAGATGATTGACAAGGTGATGACGTTTATAAACGACTTGTTTCAGCCTTCTGAGAGGGAGAAAAAAGCATCAGAAGGCAACACAGCTCCCTTAGATCAACACTTCAGGACTTCTTTCTTCCTCTCGATCCTAGTTTTACTGATAGTAGTTGTGTCTCGAGCCCACAAGGCATCATAATCATCAAAATCTGTCGAAACTACATGAAAAGGCTATTCTTTTCAACAACATTGGATGCTTCTATTTTTTTGTACACAGAATAAAAGAAGTAATGACAGAACATATTTGCGCCTTCTACTTGTGTCTGTTGAGCATATAACCATTAATGTGCAATCCAACTACTACTACTATCAACTTAGGCTTTTAGTTGAGATGGAGCACATGCTTCAATTGTGTCCAAAGCATTCATTCTGCAGATAGAGGGACATTGTTACATAGAAGTTAAATGTATGAAATGATTCTAGGTACAATTAGGCTTCAATATCCAGTGACCATAGGCCATTGTTTTCATGTTATATCCATAGCATAATGGCGGTGATCTCGTACTAGTCTCTACCTTGGTTAGTTAGAATCCGAATCCAGGAGTGAATCGATGTCAGGAAGGACGACAGCATGTTTGTAAATACCTCCCAGCTTACAGCAGTTTTTATCGACGGTGTTGATTGCAACAACTTCCTGAGCTGATGAGAAACCTACCCCAGGCGAGACCTGCAATTTGTTCGCCATTATTACAAAAAGAAGCTTATGTGGAAGTCTAAGACTAGGTAAGGATGTTTTACTTACATCGTACAAGATGTTTCCTAGCTTCAATTTAACTCCTCCACTCTTGTAAACCAGCATCTTCCCCATGTAACCCCCGGGCAATTCTTCCAAACTGCATCCCTTCTTTGGACTGCTTCTCCTTCTCAAAACTGTCGGGGGGTTCTCGACTTTTTCTTTTCCTTTTGCACTAGTTGGAACCTCAATTACCTCTTTTCCCTTCGTCGATGCAGCAGGCAATGTTGTCTGATCTCCGATACTCTTGCACGAAGGCAAATTATTAGGAATCTGAATAAAAAACATTCTTCGTTCATCTTCATCCTGTTCATCCTGTTCATCAAGGGTAACGAGTGGATTAAATTTAAACTGCTTACTCTTATTTTAAGAAACAAAAAGTTCAAGAAAATTGCTAGTTGTGTTACCAGCAAACCAAGCTCAGAAGAAGGATGTATTTTGGTCTCATCATACTCGGCATTTCTTGCTGCCTCTCCGAATTCTGCTTCATCAAGGATTTCTGCAGGGCAGGTAGGCAGGAATAGATGGAATTACAAAGGTTTGAATGCCATTTCCATTGCCAAATAATCCTTTAAACCAATGGCATTATATAGAAATACAGCAAACCACTAATTAAATGCAACTGTTCGGCTCTGTTTGACAGAGCTTATTTAGGAGCTTATAACTTATTTTAAGTTACTAATAAGCTATAAGTTCTGTTTGGTAATGTTCTCAATATAAGCTAGTAGCTTTAAAGAAATGTTATTTAATCACATCTTTGAGAATACCTGGGTCTCCAGAATTAGGCTTCCTTAGAGGAAGAGTGATAGGATAGTAGCTATTCTTGTAATCCTGCCAAGGCATCAAGAAGATCAAAGTCGAGTTGCGACAACCAAGGCTTAGGCATTTACATGTTAGAAAGACGAGAAAAAAATTATTACCCAAGGTTCTCGATACTCTCTTTTTTTCTTCTTTATGCTTTCAGCTTTCGCCAAACTATCTTCATCTACATCAACATTAGTATTTGAAGGTGAGGGCACAAGGTCTCGCGGGTCACCATAACCAGAACCTTTCAATCCTGTACTATCAGCCGTCCCTTCCCTAGGATTTCCATATGTCCTTATAGGAGCTGATGATGCCACTCCATGAGAAAATACAACTTGAACCGCTGATTTATTAGAGAATTTCAAGAATAAGTAGATTGTTGATCCACTTATATATGGTTGACAATGGTCAATTAGGCATTACTTTCAGTTACTAGATCCAAAGATTCATGAACTCAGAGCAGGGGTTAGTAGTAATAGTAGAAAATAGAAATTACTGTGGTATATAATCATACAATAATAGGCACTAAGAAACAAGTGTAATGACAGAACATTGAATTCTTGAATTAAGGAATGCAGTAGAGATGGAAATTACCCTTCTTCTCAGCTTTAGCTTTCCCTCTAGTCAGATGCTCCTGTAAGGAACAAATCCAAGCATATAAGTTTTAAGATGAGAAAGGAAACTAAAGATTATGCATGAATCTTGCAGTTTCTTGATCTGCCCTAGTTTCTTACTTCTTTTTTTTTTTTGGGGTGCAAAGTTTCTTACTTCAATAACAAGCTAGCAAAGCATGGAAAGCAAATTAAAGCATTTTATGTTTAAGAAGAGCTATCTTGAAAGGACCGATCAAGACTCAACTGGATTAGTCTCATCTCATGCAATTTAGATAAAAGAAAATGATAACTATGTTTTCTCATGCTGTTCTTGCAATAAAAGTTGAAAAAAAAACTATCAAAATTGCCCATCCCTTTTTGTCCTTTTATTTTTATTGAAGTAGCTTATAAATATTTCGGTCCAGCTCATGCAGCATTCAAACTTCAAAGAAATATAACAGTTAATAACATCTGGGCCCTCCGACTACAGTGATTTCGTCACATTTAATCCTAAATTTTCAAATTGATCACCCGTGATCCATCGACTTTCAAATCATTACTATTCATGGTCTAAGTACCCATGGTTCTTCAACTATCAAATTTTAACCATGGTCCTTGCAGGAGGACTATAGCTGGTTAAATTTTGAAAATTAAAGGACCATGAATGATTATTAGATACAAATAATAACAATTTTAAAATTAAAGGACCACGAGTTCACTTTAAAAGTTTATAACTAAACATGACATAATCACTATACGCGGAGGACCTTATATTAAATTAACTCTATAAAAATAAGAATTCTACTACATGTACTCCCTAATCTTACTCCCTAAATTTTACTCTCGACAGATTCTGGTAAGTTATTTTTTTTTATGTGAGTCTCAATACAAGTGTCTATATTAAAATTTTGTATTTGGAAGTAGAAGTTGAAAGTACAAAATAGGAGTACATGTAACATTTTCCTAAAAACAAAGACAATACAGTAAAAAAGTGCAGGAGGATAATTCTCTCAAATAAATAGACGGTAAATATTCTTAGTAACCCAGCAAAAATAATTAAATAATCCATATTGGGATGCTCTATCTTAACACATATCGCAGTTGCAACTTCGGAACTTCTAGAGTATGATATACACTGCCAAATCACAGTTCCGGTAACTTACATTGGCTCGCCGGAGAAGACGAGTGTCGGGAGCTTCATCATCAGAAGCATCGTGTCTGTTTGATTCTCTGCAATTTATACATCCAAAACTATAATTAATCATATTATTCACAGAAAAACAGTAACATCAAAAGGAAAACACTAAAAGGAGTTGATAATTCGAGTAAAAATGAAAAGGTCGAGTACGTTTTGAGTTCGACTTTCTTCTTAGCTCTGCGAGGAGGTGGCTTTGGAGCAAACCTAAACTATAAATCATGAAAATTTATATCGAATTAAATTAATTCGTAATTACTGAGTCAGGAATTGAACGGAGAAATGAAGTGGAGCAGAGGAATTTCAGAGCTCAAGACCTTTCTTGACGACGTAGGAGAAGAAGGTAAATTTGGATCCATGGTGTTTGAGAAAAGCTTTCAAATCCGAAATTCTGTTAAGTCAATGAGATATGAGCAACAAAGTATCTGCATAGGAGTGGGAGAGTTCAGCAAAACAGAGACTTACAGGTTGAAGACGATGGAGATGGAGATAGAGCTCACAAAAAACGCAGGGAGGAGAAGTTAGGGGCGGGTTCGACCTGCAGACGTCAAGTTAGAAGAGAAGACAGAATTCCAACTCGACAACACGAGAGTTTTGTTTGGTCTTGGAATAAATTGTACATATACCCAAATATATATATGCGGGTTTCCGTGCAATTGGCTACGTGAGGTGCGATTGTGGGGTGAGATGAGAGCCGTTAATCTTGACAAGATTAACGTCAGGATTAACATGAATTTAAAAAAAAATGTTGTGGTAATTTGGTCTTGTTGCATCTAGGTCAAATTTAAGGTGTGTGGTTTTCCTTCTTAAGGTGCGTGATTTTTGTGTTGTGTTTAACGTCATTTGTTGAAACTTAAGTGTGTCGATTTAAAACTTTAGGTGCATGGTTTTCCTTAGGTATTAGTTTGTGTGCTTAAGGTGTGTCAACTCCTAAGGTTTTTTCATTCTTAAAGTGCGCGATTTGTGTGCTTAAGGTGCGTAAGTTGGTGCGTCTGCCACTTTAGGTGCGTTGTTGCGTCGGTTTAAAGCTTTATGTGCGTAGTTTTCGTTCTTAAAGAGTTAAAGTGAATTTTTCTTTTTTAATTAAGGTGATTTGTTTTCCTTCTTAAGGTGCGTCAACAACCAATATTCTTTATAAGATTTTCTCTACACAATATTAAGTCATATTTATGTTAGTCCATAGCATTGATCACCGCACTTCCGCATAGGAAGTTATTTCCACACCTGAATCATGTGGATGTGCGGATAAACCAGAGAATCGTTAGAGGAGTACCAGAAAAATAATAAAAAGGAAAAATGTGATGATATGTTGGTGCATTTAAACATATTTGATGGTGCTTTAAGTCTAATACACCGTCAAACATTTTCGTGTACACCACAGACCAACACTTAATTAGTACACTACAAAAATAAACTTGATGTAAAAAAATTACAAAAATATCACAACGTTGTCCGCACAATCGAACATGAGTCATGCGCAACAATTTCCTAAATAGCTTGGATAAGGGTGCCAAAGTATGCATGAAGATGGAAGAAGTGGTTTCAACTCTCAAGTGCATATAATTTTAACCACAAGTTGAGCACCGCAACATGAAATGGATTCCTTGGTAAAATAAATAGAAGTCGGTTGTATGGTAGTTAAGCAATAACTTATTTTTCATCAATAAGAGGCCAGGGGAAGATTTACATGCAGAATCCAAATTAATGAATAAAACAACCAAATTCACTGAGAAGGCACAGTGGGTTTCCGCACAACAAGAGGGCGGCCAGGCTTGAGCACCCACTCACACACATCAAAAACCACCGTCAAGTCATCGCCGCTGAGCCAGCGGTTGACATGGAAGATGGACTGGCTACACCCCTGATGCGGCCCCGTCGACGTCACCTCAATAAACTCACAGAACCAGCCGGGGTAGTGGCCGGAGCCGTCGGAGGTGACGTTCAGCCTGCAAAGCGGCTGCTGGAGACACGCACCACTCACCGAGAAAATGTCCAGCTTCCCACCTTCAAAGTAATCGTGATCTCGGTTCATCAATCCCCAGTCCCGGAGCTCCGGGACCCACACTCTATTTCCGGGCTTGTCCCCCATCTCCACGCTGATTTTCGAGTCCGTTCCGGCGGTCACAAACGCGCCCGTCTGGATGTACAGGCTGTACACACACTCATCCTGCACCCAATATGGATCGAAGTTTCAAAAAAGAAAATAATTTTATTATAAGCAAATGCAAGAAATTTATATATATATATATATACAAAGGTGGAAGATCAGATCAGAGATGATGAGTTACAGAGGAGTCTGCCGCGGAGAAGATGAAACTGAAAGCAATGACTAGGAGGAAGTGGCGACTCGTCGCTGTCATTTCCGGCCAGTTTTAATTTTGGGACAGCAGTAGTTTGGTAAGGGTTCGATTCGTAGACACGATTTTACAAAACTATATATAGATCAGAGATGAATGTCCTGTTTTTTGATTCCAGAAAAATGGCGAATGCATGCAACCTTAGCTCTCGTTCGCGCGTGTCTACCTTGTTCCTCATTTTTTGGCTTGTTGGTCGGTTTGATTGTTGCTCCTTTGGACTAATTCTCTCACTGATATGATGCATATATATAAATAATAAGATATTAAGACTTAAAAGAAGGCGTTTGGTAAACATTTTTCCATAACTAATTAGCTATTATTCTCTTCAAACATATTCTTGAAAATATTTTCTCAAAAATTAAGAAAAATTGCACTTTTCATTTCTAAGTTTAGAATAATAGTAAAATTCAGCAGTGTTAATTATACTCACTTTTCATCCCAAAGTTTTTTGGCTTGTTGGTCATGCTTGCACTTATAAATACTTTCGTCCCCTACATAAATGGTATACGTCACTTAATAGACAAAGTTTTTTAAATAATCACTGTCTAATATATTTTATTATATTATGTCACTTAATAACAACAATTTTCTAATAGACAAAATTTTTTAAATAATCACTGTCTAATATATTTTATTATATTATGTCACTTAATAACAATTTTCTAAATATCCGCCATATATACCTTAATTAATTTTTGCCTTGCATGAGCAATTGAACTTCATTCTCTTGGTTTAGTTAAATAGAGTTTTCCCACACAAAGCAATACGAAAATAATGAACAGGAGCGGACAGAGCTAGTAAACATCAAACTGATCATTGCAATTTACACACCAAAAGTCACATTAATTAAGAATTCTTTGTTCAAACCATTTCCTTGTTCCATCTAATAAAAAACTTAAGAATGCTTTTTACAACAATTAGATAAACGGATGAATGCCACACAATCACAAGCTTTGCTATATGCAACATCGACCTGATCTGAAATAGCAAACTCCCCTGCCACCGCTTCTATCAAAATGAAAACAAAAACAAAAATTAAACCACGTCTTTGTGCTTTACTCAGGATTTGGCGAGAATATAGGTCGAGAGAATTACTTCTGAATTAGGAGCTAGAGCTGCCAAGATCAAAGTCCATGGTGTAATCATACTCGATTGTTGGAATCACGGAGGCCATAAATTTCAAGAATAAGAAGAGGTACCTGAAAAATTATCAATAGTGACAATTTTATTAGCCAATTGGAGAGAAATGATCGAGTGATATAGTGAGGCATCGATTCCAATTTCCACACACATATATACAAGGCATGCTCACCCTTCATGACCAATTTAGATGGATAGTAAATAAAAAAAATAAAATTACTTGTCAACTTCAGGTTCAACTCCTCTTGACATCAGAACATCGATAATTTTCTTCATAACAGCTCCATGTCGACATGGATGTATGGAAGCATGTTTCCCAGGTAAATGGGGATGATCTTCAATGGTCACCTGAGTTTAGCAATGTCGAGCAAAAAGATGTACAACACCATTAAGCGAAATGGTAACATTAAGTAGTGTGTGACTGCCAAGCACCTTGTGCTCAAATGGCATGTAATGACCTCTCCCATGTGAGAGGTCATGAGATTGAGCCTCAGTGGAGCCGTTATTGACTCTGTGTGCTTCATTATGTTGAGAAAGTATGTTTGAACAGATACTACAATGTAATAGAGTCAGTAGCATTCAAAAAAAAAAAAAAAAATAGTGTGTGACTAGATTTTCTATGTGTGCCACTAAATCAAAATAACTAGCAATCATGTCTCACCGTCTTGCGAGCATGGTCTTGGCTGACATCTTCAAGTACAAGCTCCGGCTGTAGTAGCATCCTTGACTGTCATATAAAACAAAATGCATATCCTTATGTGGATCAAGATAATAAAAGAAGTAATGCCACCAACTTCATATGCATCGATTAGCTCAAATAAAAAGAGAATATGTAGAATTTATCCATATGAACAATAGGCTAGTGTCCCTGTCATGAGTGTATTATTCTATATATATCACATACAAATCAAGTTCCACAAGCAACAGAACATACGACAAACTCACCTCATCATATCCAGTAAGCCAAACACGAGGAGTCTGATAGTACTTGTCATACCTGAAATTAAGGAAAACTTATGACCACATATATATATACATAGCAAGAGTATGCAGAACCTTCAACTGAATTTGACTTACGTGATGCTGACATCATATGTCCGAGTTCTTAAAATATTATCGTCCTCAGGTTCATTAGCCACAAGATATGTATTTTGAAGTGTACCCTGTGAGACCATATGAAATGACAATCAACATGATATGGGTTGAGATAATTGTTTACAAATAAAGCAAATTAATCCTTTCCCTACAGAATGTGAGAGTTCAAGATATGGGTAGCTGCAAACCAAGAACATAGCAAGTTCAAAAACTTATTGTAAGGATATAAGACAGATTCTTACGGGATCTGATTCAATAAGATTGTCAGCATCCTCAAAGTCTCCCATGTCCGGTATGTCTTCCTCCTCATCACCCCCAAAGTATGAAGGAATTGATTGGATGGCATTCTTCTTACTTATTTCTAATGTCTCTATTGAGGGTAAGTCGTCATCCTCCTCCTTTTTGTTTTCTTGATATAAACAAGGAAAGGAAAATGTCAGACTGGATAAAAGATGAAGCTGCTCCTAAGCAGAAGCAGTGAATGATAATATGATATACCTCTCGGTTTCCCGTGTGTTGCCAGCCAACCGTCATTATCCTCATTATCAAGAAGAACTTCTCCTCCAGCAGCTTCGTATTCTTCCTCTACTGATGCTGCTCTCCTCAGACAAGGAACTGCATAGAGTATTATTATTAATATAAGTTATTGTAGTATACATCATTAGTTGACCAGCATATACAGACAAGAAATCGTTCAGTGTTATAGACCACCAAGACTAATTACCATTTCGAGTGATCAAGTATTGCTTGTCGGCAGGTAAATATGACTTTCTCTTGCTAGGCTCACCTGATTCCCTGCAAGTGAAATGAACCCTAAACTGAGAAAGAGTAGTATTAAGTATTAACAGCAAGTCAGCAATGATCATTGATCACAGCAGTGGTGGCATGTAATAGTATTGGCTAAACAATTTTTTTTAATGGAAAAAATAGAAAACAATTCCAGCAGAGATAGAGAACTCTAAAACCCAACCCACCCACTTTTTCTTTTTTTTTGAAAGATAAAATTATAGAAACTAAATTAGTTAAAGAGCATATTTTACATTCAGTCAAAGTAGGTAAACTAATGTGCAGACTTCAACTACATCTTATCAGCATGCATCCATATGAAGAAGAAGATGATGTAGATTAATCTAAAGAGAATTCCTAGATATCAGATTCTACAGGTAAGCAAAAGTTCAGAACTTGCAACTGATTTTTGAGTCCATAGATCCTAAATGACTAATTTCAAGAAACACACAAAATTTGAAATTCTTAATTCCTATTCTGTTATAATGTATAATTCAAATTTCTGTTGAACACGCCTACAATTCATGACAAAATTTACAGCTACAACTGGCTACACACAATTTAATTTTCAACAAAAATCCACAACCTTGCTCCTAAAAACAAACCAAAACCTACCAATAAAGTCCTACGAATTCTAAAACCCCAAATACTATCAAGTATCAAAGTTCCACTCCACAAGCTTCTCCTGGCTCCATAATCAAAATTCCAATTTTCTAACATTAAATTTGATCAAGATGTGACATTTATGCAAAAAATTACAGCTTGAAACTATACTATCTACCCCAATAAAGGGCACCTTAAAATTTCCACTCCTCGAGCTTATGTTAGCTTCATAACCACAATTATAAATCTCTAACACCAAATTTCATCAAGAAGTAGTATTTATACATAAAAATTATAGCTTTATTGAAAAAACTAACAGCTAATGATATTTGATCAATTGAGGACAAAAAAAGAATTACCAAGACCAGGTGGCGCATTTAGAAACGAGGTTATCGCCGGCGATGATGAACTCGCTGACGCTGAGGACGCCTTTCTCTTTGAACGCAGAGACGGTGCGAGGATTGGTGATTCTCTCCACCGTGCCCTTGAATGCTTCGTGAAGCTTCTGAGAGAGTACCATTCTTCGCAATCCAAATGCCAAGAAGGAATATAGTTAGGCGATTACGATCGGATTTTGGTTCCTTTCCTTGCTCCAACTCCAATTGTGTATTAACCCCCGATTACGTAACCAAACTAACAAAAACCTAAAATCAGGATATATCATATAAATAAAGAGAACTAATAAGAATCTAATGTTAAGAGTCCACCGATTACTAAAACACCGACAAATATGCTGAGAATCCTTGGGGAAAAAGTGTTTTACTTTAATGACAAGTTATTTTTATTATGTAAATGTAAATTTTAAGGAAAATATCAACATTATAGTTTTGAGAAAATAAAAGTTAGGGGAAAAAATTTAAATAGGTCATTGAATTTTACTTGATGTGGTATATACGAGAGATATCACTATGAGATACACTTCTAGACTCTCCGCTTCCGTTTGTTGATTTAAGTTCTAGAACTCGAAAAACGTGACAGTACGTTAGAGATTTCCGAATAAAATAGATAGTATATAGAAATAGCTAAAAATTCCTTCTTCAGTCATAAAATGCGGTACTTATAAGAAAGATGATGAGATAAGTTCCGGTCTAATAGCATGTGCGAGACGTGGAATCTATGCACAGGCTCAGACCGAGGCTCAAGGAGGGCCGACCATGTGCACTAATAGGTCGCAGTGCAAATATCATAAGGGCGTCTGTGTGCACGCCTTTAACGGAGCTCGACAAGCTAGATGGTCGGGAACGTGTAAATACAAGTTTGACGCGGATCGGATCGGATTGTGCTCGCGTAAAGTGTCCGATACTGACCACTGTATAGCACGATTAACTGGGAATAACCTCTATCATTCTCAAAAAGACAATTAAGTTCTAAACTTTCAACCGTTATAATTAAACCTAAAAACAATTGTTGAAAAGTATGAAGTCCAAGAAATTCATTAGTAATCTGTAATTACAAATTACTTAAAATTCGAGTAAAATTTTTCAATCATTTAGAGAAGGCGGCCAACTGATCTATCTTCTCCTTAGGTTGAAAAGGAAATCAATAGACTAATGTCAAGGACCAAACTAGCCATTTTTTCTCTAATTCAATTTACTATAAATACAATGTCCAACTATAACTCTATATAAGTATGTATGACGACGGCGCTACAATGTGCAGCACGCAGGGCTGATAATTGCTCTTCAGTCTATTACAGTTGAACAACACAGGACGCTCAACTCTCCAATCGCTATCTCTTCTCGCCCACCATTCTGGGCTCCAAACCAGGAAGATGAACTCTTGGGATTTATGGGTGGAGCAAGCGCTATCTAGACTGGATTCTCTGAAACTCCTCCGATCTCTCAGGCCCATTCTTCCTTCCAAAGCTAACCAGCCCGGTTCGCAAGAAACTTGCCCTTCAAACGCCTCCTTTTCTGGCGATGACCTCCAAGTTTTCGACGGTTTGCGCCAGTGGGACAGAGCCTCCGTGGAAGTCATGATTTCTGAAACCACGTATCAGAAATGGCTAAAAGACGTCCCCAGTTCCGGTAATTGCTTTTTTCTTTTCCACCCTTTGCCTTCTCGTCACTAAATGTTGCATCTTTCTGGGATTTGCTCTTCATGCATTGTTAAAGTTTGCATTTTTGTTCTCTTGGTTTTGCAATAAAATGCACGGTGTAGTAATGAGCTTTTCCTGGATAATTCACATTTGAGTGGATTTGGACATTGAATTATGTGTTGAGTATTTATGTTGTTGACAGGAGATGACAATGAATGTGACAAAGTTTGGACTGATAATGAAGTGGGGGCTTGTGGTGGAAAATTCAGAAAGTTAATTTTATTCTCCAGTAATGATTACTTGGGTTTGAGTTCTCATCCAACTATTATCAAGGCTGCAACAGAGGTAAGATGGTTACTATACCATAAACTAGTAATTTTTTGTGGACTTTTCATGTGATTGGCTAGAAACTTGGCTAACTTGTTATGGTTTGCATGATTAGGCAGTGCAAAGGCATGGAATGGGTCCAAGAGGATCTGCCTTAATTTGTGGGTATACATATTATCATAGATTACTGGAAACCTCATTGGCAGCCCTAAAAAAGAAGGAGGTAAGGATTTCTAACACACCTGTATCTGGATGTACTTTCACTTATTTCTTGTGTTGCTAGTAGTCTAGTATATATAATTAGATATAAAAGTAACACTTCAATGAGGGAATCGATGTTTTAAAACTGATGTGTTTGTCTTGTAATGTTTACATACTAGGATTGCCTTCTTTGTCCCACAGGCTTTGCAGCCAATATGGCATTTGTCACCGCTGTAGGCAGTATCAGTCTTCTCTTAGCTGCAGGTGGCAAACCATCATTGGATGACAGAATAGCCATATTTTCCGATGCTCTCAACCATGCATCAATTATTGATGGTATACGCCTTGCTGAGAAACAAAAAGGTGTAGCAGTTTATGTCTACCGACACTGTGACATGTTCCACCTTAACGAACTACTGTAGGTTATGGCTTTCGATTTTTTCTCTTTCTGATTGTGTTGAGCAAATTCCGTATCTCACTACCTCTGTACTCGTGTTTTAACAGAACAAATTGCAGAATGAAGAAAAAGGTTGTCATTACAGATAGGTTAGTCATGTTATTGAGTATTATCTGTCATTATCAGCTACATTTTGCACCCCTTATCCCGAAATAAAGAAGGAAACAAGAAAGTTTTCTGTATCTTACAGGGTGTTTAATTTTTTTCCCCTTTACCAGCTTATTTAGTATGGATGGGGACTTTGCACCAATGGTCGAGCTTGTCAAGCTTCGTAAGAAGCATGGATTTTTGTTGGCAATTGATGATGTAAGTTCGAGATTGCAATGGCTTTTCACTCCATATTTTGGCTACAAACCTACCATTATTAAACATGAATTTCCTATTGTTTGTTACTAGAAACTTTATTTTAACCTTTTTCACTTGTTCTTATAGGCTCATGGAACTTTCGTATGTGGTGCAACTGGAGGGGGTGTGGCTGAGAAGTTCAACTGTGAAAAAGATGTGGACATATGTGTAGGCACTCTAAGTAAGGCTGCAGGTTGCCATGGCGGGTTCATAGCATGCAGGTCTTCTTTTCTTCCCATTGTTATCGTGCATTATTACTCTTATCGTTGCCATTTATGCCCTATTTATCCATTCTATTCCTTGCATAATATCGTTATTTCCTATTTTAGCTCTTTTGTAAACCTTAAGTAGCAGCATGCTCTGCAATGAGAGAGAGGTAAGTTGGAATCTGAATAAAATCAAAAGGGAAGTTTCTTCCTCCAACTCTCTTTTCTCATGTTCTGTTTCCCCTTATTCACAATTGGGAAGAACAGAACCGATCGTTCAAACTCTGTCTCTCATAGGCCCATAACGAGGAGTATAACTCGTGATCATATCACATTTGTTGTTGCATTGTATCACGAATTCATTATACATACAAGAATTTTCATTTAAATGCTAAATTATCAGCAAGAAATGGAAGCAGCTTATACAATCAAGGGGGCGCTCCTTCATATTTTCTACATCTACACCAGTGCCCGTCGCTGCTGCTGCACATGGTACATTACTGATCGATCAATCACATTCTTTTCTCGTTTGTCTCAAACTAAAAAGCTTGTGTGTAAAAACCGACGTTCCATATGCATGTGTATGTATATAAAGATGCCATTATCAAGGTAACACGAAGAAAATGTGGAGATTTTTACATTGCTGTAAGTATAATTGTAGTGTAACTTATGCAGCTGCTACTGTTGTGGCTAAAAAGGAGACATGGCGTAGAAGAGCTATCTGGAACAGGGTGCAAGACTTCCGCGATCTGACTGGGATTCCAATCACAAGTAACATCATCTCCTTAATAGTTGGGAGTGAAGCCATGGCATTGCAAGCTAGCCGGTTTGTTTTTCTCGTTTTGTCATCATCTATCTTTCTCTGTTATCTCTCTCTCTCTCAGTGCTCATCAATGTCTCAGTTGTAAACTGCAGGCATCTTCTGGATTTGGGCTTCCACATTAGTGCCATTAGACCCCCAACAGTGCCCCACAACTCCTGCAGGTGTGTAAACTCTGGAGTTTCAAGAGTTTCTCCGGTTAGTTTAAATATAAACAAAAGGAATAATGGTCAAATAAACTATCGAACTGCACACAATAATGTAATTAAGCCACTGAACCTAAAAAATCTACAATTGAGTCCCTAAACTAACCAATAAAAAAAAAAACAGAACTTCTGGCCGAAGACGAAGGCCGGAAGTTCTTTTTATTTTTTTTTAATAATTATTTTTAAAATTTTATTTTTTTAAAATAATTTAATTTGGAATGACCTGTTGGAAACCTGCATTGAAGGAATTGGTTAGTTGAGGAACTCAATTGTAAGTTTTTTAGGTTCAGTGTCCTAATCGCATTATCGTGTGCAGTTCAATGGCCTATTTGACCCTTATTCCTAAACAAAACCTTGAGATTGTTGTGTTGTCTGAGGTTTGGTTTTTGTACTTGTAGGTTAAGGATAACACTAAGTGCAGCTCACACATTGGAAGATATAAGAAAGCTTACAGAAGCACTATCCCAGTGCATCAGTTTCAGGGAGATTGGGTTCTATAGCAGCAGCAGCAGTTGCAGTGCTAAACTATAACTCTATCTTATGTTATTTCTTAGCACATATATGTTTAATTTGTTCTAAAACCTGAAGATAGATCAGATTGGTATTAATTATAATATAAAAATATTATTGATAATGTATTTAGAAGAGATGTTTAATTTGTGATGTGGATCTTGATAATAGAGTTTAATGAAAGCTTGTTTGGTCTTACGTTGTCTGTCGGTGTAGCGTTGTTAGTTATTACTCCCTACATATTTACATTCACTTCACTGCTCCTCCTACCACCAAACTCCATTATCTTTTAATTATGTTCATTAAATATACTTCTTCTCCATTTCCCCATGCCAACATCTTTGCGCAATTACAGAAATCAAAATTGACATTTGGCCTTGTTTCTTTATTATATTATTAAATCACTTCGATTTAATCTTTCCAAATGTTCTGTCGGGTTAAGTCAGGCAAAATATAATGACTCTTGAGCATCCTCTCAATTATACTGTTATCTTTCTAAATATTCTGTCGAGAGCTAAATATAAATTAAAGACTCTTGAGCATCCTCTCAAGTACACTATTGGTTTGAATGTGAAGACTCTTGAGTCATTGAGTCATCGTAATTTATATCTTATCAAATATACTGACATATTTCCAAATGTTCTGTGTAGCTAAATATAAAGACTCTTAAGCATCCTCTGAATGCGAAGACTAGACTCTTGAATCATTGAGTTATCGTAATTTACATCTTCTCAAATATACAGTCACCTTTCTAAATGTTCTGTCGAGCTAAATATAAAAACTCTTGAACATCCTCTCAAATACATTGTTGGACTGAATGTGAAGATTCTTGAGTCATTAAATCATTGTAATTTACATTTTAGATGATCAAGAACCTTAAGATGTGATCAAGAACCTTTTAGTTATAAATCATCGTGATTTGTATCCTCTCAAATAGTAATATACTATTAGACTAAAATGTGCTTAATATAAAGACTCTTGAACATCCTCTCAAATACAATGTTAGACTGAATGTAAAGATTCTTGAGTCATTAACTCATTGTAATTTACATTTTTTGAACTAAGATATGATCAAGAACCTTAAGATGTGATCAAGAACCTTTTAGTCATAAGTCATCGTGATTTATATCCTCTTAAATATATTATTCGACTAAAATGTGCTTATATCGTCTTACATTATCGAGCTAAGGTGTAAAAACTCTTGACTTATTGAGTCATCATAATTTACATCTCTTAATCATGTTTTAAATCCCCTTAAATGTATTATTTGACTAAGGGTACTATTTGACTAAGAGCCCTTGACTCTTTGAGTCACTTTAATTTACTTTAATTTAAATCCTCCAAATGCCCGCCGTCGGGGGTCACCTTAATTTACCTCCTCCAAATGGTCTTTGTCGGGAGGGAGTGTAATATGAAATGTGAGTGCAGGGAGGGTTCTGAACTTTATTTTCAAAGCATGCATTAAGGAAAAGATTATATTACAGATCTGACCAACAACACAAATGATAACGACAAACTTAAACAAAGATGAAAAACATGCATTATTACATTAAATTAAGGTTTTACCATAAAAGAGAAAGAAAGAAAAAGAAACAGATACAACATTAACTTTGAATGCATGATAAACCAATCATGGCTGTAATAAACGAACTGCAGATAGATCTGGCCGGCCGCCGGCAGCGACGGAGAACTTAGCTAGGCGGTGGCACCACCGCCTGCTGCGGCTGAGCATTATAGTTGTCTCCCTTGTCTCTCATCATCTCCCTCGCTCTCATCCCGAGTCTCCCTTTTGCATACTCCAGCTGCTCCGCCCCCGGCGGCCGCTTTCCGGTCATGTACTGGTACATCCACGACAGCACGCTTACCGCCGCCAGCCCGAACCCGCCGGAGGACAGGAACCCGGTGACCAACAGGAACGCCGTGATCGCCGCCGGCAGGAGAACGGGACTGAAGATCACGAACAGCGGAGTCGCCACCGTGAGCGCAATCACCGTCCCGGCCAACGTCAGCCCGGAGAGCACCAACAGCGAGCCCCCAACCGTCACCGCCGTCGCCGTCTTCACGGCGCCGTACGATTTCGGATGCTGCTGCTGTTGCAGCTGCAGGGCGTCGTCTCTGTTCTGCCCGTAACGCTCGGCCGCCATTGATGCAAATTAAAGCTCAGCTCGCGAGATTATAGCTCAGCTCCGCAGTTAGTTGTGTGTATGTATTCCTTGGAGGCGGGGTTGGTGGGGGTTATATAGGCGGAGGAGTGACGCGCCGCGGTGGCACGTGGTGACGGTGAAAGTGTAACGTGTTGAAGAGCTTAGCATGCAGCGGGTGCATGAAAAGGGCAAAGCTTTCTGTGAGGACACGTTGCACTTTTATCTCGTCACGCCAGCTCAACCTCATTTTGGGCCTATTCAATTCGGCCCATTCTTCCTTCATGGGCCATGTTAGAAACAAACATGGGCCGTACACTCATAATCAAACTTGAGTTTAAACAAAAAATGTTTACAAATACAGTTAGGCGTTTTGTTTCTTGAGTTTCCCATTTTCATGCAACCTAGCTAGAAACAAATTTAGGGTGTTTTTGGTTCGCACATGAAAATTGAAATGAGTATCAAATACTTAGTAATGATAATAGGTTTTGGTGAAAGTATTTTGCATGCTTGGTAATAGGGTGGAATGAGAATGATTATCAATAATACTGTTTGGTTATGTATGATCCTATAATAGGAATAAATATTTTAAAAATACAAGAACACAAAATCAAGACAATTGATTCTAATATAAAGACATCCAAAACATCAATATGAACAAAAAAAAATAAAAAAAAAAATCTAAAAGCACTAATCAAAGTAGATAAGAAGGAATAATGGAATGAAAGGGGATGATACCCTTATTTTATTTAGGTATGAGTTTTTCAATTAAGGGGGTATTTGAAACCCATAGTAGTGTTCTAAAGATCTATCAACCAAACAATACCAATCATTTTGATACCCATTCCTTAGAGCTAAACATGTCAACCAAACACACCCTTAGTCTACCTAATATTATAAGTCAGAGCAAATACTAATTTTGGTCCCACGAGTATTAACAAAATGACAGTCTTGGTCCACATGTTTAATTCCTACCAATTTTCATCCACGACTAGTGTTTTAGTACCGATTTTCGTCCACAACTATTGTTTTAGTGCCAAAGTTCATCACGCCAGTCACCCTTTCGTTTAAGACATGCTGATATATGAAATTATTAAGGGTATTTGAGTCCTTTTCAAATTAATTAAGATCACAATTTGAGTATAAATAAAGTGATTTAAGCTCTAAATTCGATCTCAATTCGCAGTTCTCCTCCTCAAATTAAGGTAGGATGATGTGGAGAACTACGAATTGAGATTGATAATAAGGCTTAAATCCCTTTATTTATGCTCAAATTGGGATCTTAAGTTGAAAAGGACGAAAATACTCTTAAATTTTTATTTTTTATTTATTTCAACATGTCTTTAAAAGGTGGAGTGACCATTGTGATGAATTTTGACACTAAAACAATAGTCGTGGATGAAAATTAGTTCTAAATCAATAATCGTGGATAAAAATTGATAAGAATTAAACATGTGGATCAAAACTGTTATTTTGCTAATACTCGTGGGACTAAAGTTGAGATTTGCTCTTATAAGTCATGGCAATTCATGGGTGGTTCATGGTTGTTAGATTTTGTTCAAGGCTATCTTAGTCCACTACTGGAAATTCTGAAATTTCCGACCACCTGAAAGTGATCTTAAATCAAGTCGAAAGCCTTGTTCCGACCACTTTTGGTATCCGAAAAAACTCTTGTTGCTATTTCCGACCACTTTTTACTTTCAACTTGATTTAAGATCACTTTCAGGTGGTCGGAAATTCAATAATTTCCAGTAGTGGTCAAGCTTTATAGGACCTTCTTTTTTTTTTTTTCACTTTTAATTGTTTGGTACAAGTCAAATCATGAATCATGTTTACAATTTTGTTGAGTAAGAGATGAAAAATGAAAATCATGATTTTTAGATAATTTGAGATGTATCACATGGTGACTAAAAGATAAAGATTAAAACGATTATAGTTATACAATTGAGACCAAGAATGCATTTCCCATAATATGATAGTAAAATTGGTTGTTTGTAGTCTGAATCAATAAAGTTATAGAAGATTTTTAGAAGGATCCTATAGATGGTTGTTAAATTTTGTTCATACAATTGACTTTTGTAGTCAACGTTTTTTACCAGAGTTTTTCATCACATTTTCTTTTAATTATTTGATTCAACGTAACTTAGGTTTACCAACCATATAAACACAATTTTTATTTACGAAAAAGTCGGTATCTGCTACCAATTAAAATGTACATTCTAGGTGATGAAAGCTGCTTTGCGACAAGCAACCTAGGTTGCATGTAACATGTCAACTCAAATTAAGAAGGTTAATAGACAGTTTCCTTAGGAGTCGAACTTAAAACGTTGTGGTTACCAAGCTAATTGTTTGAAATCCACCTAGGTACACTCTAGGTGAAGCTAGCCTGCGTTACGACAAGTAGCTTTTGTTGCATATAACTAACAAATTCAAACTAAGAATTCAATGCCAATAGATTGTTCACCAAGGAGTTAAACTTGAAACGTTGTAGTTACCAAGCTAACTCTTTAAAGTTCATCTAAGTGCGCTTTAGGTGAAATCCGTATTGTGACCCTAGCCGACAAAGGATCACTAGAAAATAGAATTACCTAGTTAGGTTACCTATAACTAACCAACTCAAATAATATAAAGACGACCAATAGATATCTCAGTAAATAATTAAATTTAGAATATTTTGATTACCAAGTTAACTGTGTAGGAGTAGCAAATCATATAAACAAAGTTGTGGATACCAATAGTTGTATCTATATTTTCCAATTTGACTTGTATACATAGATGACTTCCTCAATAATTATAGTCATCTTCCAAACAAACATTATTCAGGACTTCCAAACAAAGATGGTGTGTGGACACAAGTCTTTTCATGTCTTTTTAGGGTTTCCATTTTTCCACGGATGAGTCAATGGGGAGTTGAAAGAAACAGCGAGGATTGGAAATTTCTTCCCTCATGCGCATAAGTATCTTGACCATTGTGCAATTTTTCATTCTTCCAAAAAACTTGAATCTCCAACTCCAATCCGATAGAATATTTGAAAGGATGTAAATTACGGCAACTCAATAACTCAACAGACAGTCAAATGCCGGTACATATAAGGAATTTGTCCACTTTGAATATAATTCTTACACTGTTACTATTAAGGTTCGAATATTAGTCTCTTCTTTTAAAAATTGCATAATAAATTAGTGAGCTGGTTGTGTAATTTTTACTTTGATGGAGGGGTGTGAAAGGAATATTACTGCGACAAGGAGGGGCCTATGTGAAAAATGTTTTTGTTTCTGGAAGAACCAACTAACATCCTTCGCTTTCCCAACTAACATTACGTTTTTATGCCACAACGTTTGATAAACTTGGAATTAGGGTCGGAATCTCTTGTCCAACTTGAAGACTTTGGTTTCAGTCCCCTCCAACAAGTTGCAGTTTTAGATATCACCTTAAAATTAATTCCGATTTGGTTTCGATTTCATTTGAATAATAAGTAGAGTTTAACTTTTATTCGAAAAAAGATTGACATCAATTTTTTGGGTTAGATAACGAGAAAAAAAATTTATAATTACTACTTAAAGGTATACACATGGTAAATCTTGTTCATATATATATAACGATCTGCAAATCATACAAGAGAGGTAAATCGTATTAGAAAATTTTATGCGAGTATGCGACAAGTTTGATCGAAAATGTTAGCAAGAATAAAACTTGTGATATTTAGGTACAAGAAGATCTATAACTTTTTAATGTGGCACATCATGCAATTACGTACATTAACATTTTGCTTATCAATTGCCAAAATTGGAAAATAATTACTTGTATAATTTTTTTATTTTTTATTTTGTTAAAAAAAGACCTCTAAAAGAGATAGTCGAGTGGATATATGGAACATGTTTTTCATACCTAAAAATCACGAATTTAATACTTGCAAAACTCTTTTAGTCGAGCCACACTTTTAAAATTTACTTGAATAAACCCAATCTTTTATCATAAATTGTTAATTTTACCTGAATAATCCTAATCTTGTATCATAAATTATTAATTTTATTAGAGAAATACATTTTAATGTTATGAGTGTAATATGATGCCAAGTAGTTCGTTGATGCAGTATATTCACTTTTTTATTTTCACTTTCTTTTACTATATATTACTCCCACCCTCCTAATAGTCTTGTATGTATATCTTCAAGGACTTCCACGCAAATAAAATTTTAGAAAAAAAAATGTTTTTATCGTTTTATGTGTAGGAAATGAAATGTCAAAAGCTTGTTTAGTAATCTTTTATTTTAGAGTGGTAGTTAGGTAAAATAGAAAAGTATTATGAATACAAAAATAACATAAAATTATAATGCACAGTATAACACGGCATCATATACTCAAAAACAAATTAAACTAAGCTAAGTAAACCTTTCAAAAAAAAAAAAAAAAAAACTAAGCTAAGTAAAATGTTTTTATCCTTTTTATTATGCTCTATCACGTAGTTATTTGTAGGAAGAAGTTTGTCCTTAACTTCTAATATAATTGGTACTAAACCGTCCATAGACATCTCTATTACTTTGCAAATAAACAATGACCAATTATTTGAAAAAAATAGGATGATACAATATATACTTAATAAATTTCAAGTTCTTAGACTAAAGATTTTGACCTTAAAATTCTTTTTTTAACGCCATTTTTTTAAAAGACGAAAAGTGTTCACACGTGATATATATACTTTTTTTAAAAAAAAAATTTAAAAATATTATTAAATTTGACTAATTAAAAATTAATTGTTATTAAACTGGTTTAGAGAATTACGTTCCGTTGATATTATCGGTTTCGGTTTAATAATATATAATTTACATATCCAACAACCTAGAATATCTCATAATCTCATATCATAATGTACAAATGTTGTTTTGTAGTTGTAGAAGTGGAAAGACAATAGACAAGGGGGAAAAGTTATCTAGATAGTGCATCATCAAATTAGTTCATTTCTCCACTTGTCATGAATTTTTGTGTGCATTCCTATCCAAACACGCCTTATCATCTCCTAGGTTGACGGCTCAGCAAATAATCTAAAAGCCTAAAACGCCAATTGGCTAACG